TAATTGCTGAAATTAAATTTTTAAAGAAGAAACATTGCAAAAACAGAGGAAGTTCAAAGTGACATGCTTACCATAAGAATAGCTTTGATGTGATTGTGAGTGATTTTTTCAGTACCAGATACCGCCTCATATTTCCCTATTTTTATCAGAACGTCGATGATATCTTCGTGTTCTTCCTCTGTAATTCGGCGACCGGAGCAGAGGTGATCGTCTAGCACTTTCTGAAAGAAAGCATCCAGTTTTTTAAAACTCCGTTCGATTCTTCTATGGAGACCGGTGATTCTGTCCACAATCCAACCGAAGTAAGGGAAGAAATCGGCTGCCGCAAAGCTTCCCAACATTGCAAGAGCTTCATGAATCACCTCTTCGTAATCCGCGCCGAAATCTTCGTATCCTCTTTCTCTGAAGCTCTTTCCAAAAGCAACCCGACAAGTGATATCCGCGGTAAGAGACATCAACTTCTCACTGAGGTTGACCGGTGCCCCCAATTTGGAGAATTCCGAAATTGATTTTATTAGGAATTCGACCTCTTCTTCCCTGACGAACCCGAAAGATTGGACCCTTTTAATGCTGAGGAGTTCGATAACGTACAGACGTCGCATTTCCCTCCAGTAATCGCCGTAGGCAGTAAAGGCGACGTCGAGGTAGTTATAGGACAGCTTCCCGGTACCCGTCAAGGGAGGTCGGCTGCAGCAATCGAGATCGTGGGCTTTAAAGAGTTCTTTTGCGGCTTCTGCAGAGGATACAATGAGTGTTGGGACAAATCCAAGATGAACGAGCATTACAGAGCCATGTTTCTTTGACATTTCAGCAAACGATTGGTGGGGAATTGCACCGATTTGGTGAAGGTTTCCGATGATTGGAAGTTTTCGAGGGCCAGGAGGAAGCCGCAGCCTCTGCTTTTGCTTTTGCATCATCTTCTGGAGAAGAAGAACTAAGAAAAACAGAAAAAGAAGAAGAATAAACATTGGCATTACTACTAACGAAGATCCTCAAAGTGGTTTTAGATCTCAGCTTTCCTGGCTTCAATGACTCTAACATCCCTCACAATTTATAGCCGAACATGCAATTCAACTCCGTGTGTCGGTAAGAGCTGTATGGAGTTATTTATTATCGGTTTCTGTGTGTTTAAGTATAAGTAGATAAATTAAAGATGTATTTATTTTATTTTTATTATTAATCTTTATTAAAAAA